CACTTCCCAAAGGCTGCATAACTGGTGTATTAGTTACCTATAACCCCAAATTCAGTAGCTTAAAACAAGAAGCATTTATTACCTTTAGTTTCTGAAGGTCAAAGTCTGAGAACAGCTTGGCAGAGTGATCCTGAAGTTACAGCCAAGATTCAGGATGATTTTGAGTTAGGGTTTCTAATGAGATTGCTGTCAAGATGGGATTGCAGCCATCTGATGATTGGGACTAGAAGATTGTTTTCAAGGTAGCTCAATCACATGGCTATGGCAGGAGGCCACAGTTCATTTCAACGCAGACCCTGCCATAGTGCTGCTTGAGCTTCCTCACAACATGGTGGCTGGCCTCCCCCAGATGGGCATCCTATGGGAAAAAGCAAGGAGGAAACCACAATGCCTTTTACAGGCTAGTCTCAAAAGTCACACACAACATCACAGCTGTAAGTCAGAATCAAGTCAAGAAGTCCAGTCCACACTAAATGGAAAGAGAAATTAGCTTTTGAAAAAAAAGAATGTCAAAGAATTTGAACACATTTTAAATCAACACAGCTTGCAAGTTTTTTATGCCAATGTGTTCTGGGGAGCCACCCTCGAAAGCTCTGCTGTAGCAAACTATCACTAGAATACCATCCCATATGTGGAGAGGTTTTCCAATACCCTTTCCAGCTCCCGACTATCCCAGAAATCCTTCAGGAACTCTTGAGAATTCTTCAGTCCCCATAGATGCCCCCAACTGTGATAGTTCCCTCGAGCCCCATGAAATGTCGTTGGTCCCCTGAGTGTCCTCAATTTCCCCCAAACTCTCAGAATGTCCCCCTTCTAAATCTCTGCTCAGTCTCCCACCCCTCTGCTGTCCTAGGTATGCCCTGATGTCTCAGTGCTGGGAGCTAAACCCCCAGGACCGGCCAAGTTTTTCACAGCTACGGGAAGATCTGGAGAATACACTGAAGACCCTGCCACCTGCCCAAGAGCCTGATGAAATCCTCTATGTCAACATGGATGAGGGTGGGAGTCATGCTGAACCACTTGGAGCTGCTGGAGGAGCTGACCCCCCAACCCAGCCTGATCCTAAGGATTCCTGCAGCTGCCTCACCGCGGCTGAGGTCCATCCTGCTGGGCGCTATGTCCTCTGCCCTTCTACAGCCCCTGGCCCCACCCTACCTGCTGACAGGGGCTCCCCAACACCACCAGGGCAGGAGGATGGAGCCTGAGACAACCCTCTACATGGGACTTCCTCTCAGGACCCAAGCTAGGCACTGCCACCTATGTTCCCATTCCAGACCTTACCCCCAACTGAAGCTCTCTCTTCCTACCAATTCCACTTCCATCTCGCACAAATCCTCTCCCTTTCCACATCTTAGCGTCCCCCGTGTGAGGAGGGGTTATATGGGATGGGTTGGACTGCAATCCCTAAGGGTTCTCCTAAGTCTAACATTTCAAGATTTTGATTCTAATGTTTAAAGAGTCTAGGTTCTAGGTTTCAAAGATGTTATGAGTCTTAGATTCTAAGGACCTGTAATTCCAAATTATCTAATTTTAAAGTGCCAGACTTTAAGGTTTATATTTGAAAGTTCTGAGATTCTACAGTACTAGAGTTTCCTACTTTTAAGAATCTCGATAAAACCTGTAACTTTTGGGGCTCTAAAGTTCTATTATTCTAGGCATAGGAATTAAGACTTGAAGATGCTAGATTTCATTGTCCTTAGGGTATAAGACTCTACATTCTACGTAGAATTCTGGAATTCTAGATATGGAGGTTTTAAGGCCTAATGTTCTAAAATTTGATGTTCTAAGCCTCTTAGAGTATAAATCCCCTAGCTGACTCTAGCATAGGGCTTCAAGAGTTTATCCTTTCAGTTGTAAGATTTTAATGATGGTCAATTAGTTTCTAAGGCTTTATGATCCATGAAGCTCTTGTTATGAGATTCTGGATCCTAAAGATCTAAGATTCTAGATTCTGCAATTCAAAAGTTCAAAGAATCTTTGGGATTTTCTAAAATCTAATGTTCTCAGATGTGATATTCTAAGATTTAGTCTAAGAACCTAAATTTTCTGTGTCTAAGACTCAAGATCATATGTTTCAAGGTCCTAGATTATTAAAATCTAAGATTCTAATTTTCAGTTCTGTATTTCAAGGCACTCTAGATTCTATTGGTCCAAGATTCTAGGTCCTCAGCATCAAGGGTATAAGACTCTACAGTTAGTTGTGATTAACTAGAGACCAAAGTTCTAATAATTTCTAATGTTGGACACCTTTAGGCTCTATGTTGCATTCTGCCTTTCTAGGATTTTAGTTAAGGGTCCAAAAATCCATGATTCTAAATCTTAAGATTCTAAGCACTGAAGTTCTAAAATTCAAATGTAAGGTTTTAAAGATCTATAGGTCTTGAACTCCAAGATTCTGAGGTTCTAACTTTATAGTATTCTTCTGTGTGACCCTCCCGAGCCACCTCAGCTTTCTCCCCCCCTCATGTGGGGGTTTACCTCCCTTAAGCCTGTGCAATGCATTAGGGATGCCTCTTTCCCCAGAGGACAATCTTCCTCCTTTTGGGCCATGCTGCCCCCCTGAGCCAGTCCCTCGTATCCCCCTGTACAGATTGTGGACTCTGAAACCTTCAAAGGGGCTTATATCATATAAAATTTTGTAACCACACTTCTATCTCTTGTCTCTCTCCACAGTCATGTGGTTTTCCTGGAACTCAGTTTCCCCATCATAAAAGGAAGTGTTTGATGGGATCCAGAAGTTCTCCCCTTTAAAGAAGATAGAAATGAACATACACATAGACAAAAAGTCACACAAAGAAAAGCAGAGTCTCCAAAACCCCTACTGAGGAATAGGCACATAAATACAAGGTCACATAGAGACACCCATTAATGGGCATACACCTGGTCACAAATACAGAGATACTGAAATTCAGACACAGAGTAACAGACAAAATTATAGATACAAATAAACATGAATCACAGGCAGATATCAACATTAGGAAGAAACTAAAGTAATACAAAGAGTAAAGTTACACAGAGACATAGAGTACAACAGGTACTCACAGACCCAAACATTCAGATTCACATAGCAACACAGGCACAGAATATCGCCAACAATCTCCAGCCCACAAAGGAACTTCTGCCAAGACAAACCCACACTGTGTTTTGCATGCAGGGCAGACACAAGTTCCTGGGTGTGTCCCACCGCAAATGGAGGAGCAACTGGCAGTGCCCGGACGCCCCCCGGTGGCAGCTCCTGGACACTGACAACAGTTCAATCCGGGCCACAAACTTTTTTAGGATAAATCTGTGGGAAGCTGGGAGGAGAGAGGAAGTCAGACGCTGGCCAGGGGCGGGGTGTCTGGATTGGAACCTCCGCGCCCACGTGAGTGTCTGTCCCGCTTCTGAGTGGGTGCTGTGTGTCTAGGTTGCTGTCGTGTAAGCTTGTATTGTAATACCCCCTGTCCGAGCGGACTGCAGTTTGGTGTGTTGTCCCTTGAATTGATGCATGTGATCGGACCTCACCGTGATGTGTTTATCTGTGTTGTGTGTGTCCACAGAGGTTGTGTGTGGCTTTTGTGGGTTTAAGGTGAGACCCAGTGGGCAGCCAGCGCTTACATGTGTATCTCAGTTGTATATCTTACAGAAATTTTGTGTCCATTCAGTTCCAGGCGACAGGTGGTGCAGGGTTAGATACTGTAAAACGGTATATTTAGCTCAAAACACACAGGCTTAGCTACCACCGACCTGTGTGTTTGAGCTTGTCAGTACAGACACTAAACACCCAGATATACTGAACAGCAATTTAAAGGATTTGGGGTAGAGACCCGAGAATTTCTGGAGGGCTTCCCTGGGGGGGGGGGGGGGGGGGGCTCTATGGTCACATGCAGAGCACCCATTCCACATAGGATACAGCCATAGAGGGAGACGGCAGCGAAGCTATAATCGTGGGAGGAGGCGCCCTGAGATTTACTTTCAAGGGGAGAGGGTGTGATTTTCTTTACTTTTCTCACGGTGTTAGTCTAGCCTCTATTATCAAATCTTCAGGACTCACTGAAGTCAACTAGTACCTTCCAGATCAAGAATAACTTATCTAGCCCAGCCATAGTGACTCAGTGGGTGAGCATCTACCTATGAACCAGGAAGTCACGGTTGGAGTCCCGCTCAGGGCACAGGCCCAAGTTGCCCCCTCGATCCCCAATGTGGAGAATGCAGGAGGCAGCGATTAATGAATCTCTCTCATCTTTGATGTTTCTTTCTCTCCCTCTCCCTTCCTCTCTGAAATCAATAAAAACATATTTTTTAAATAAAAGAATAACTTAATCGCTATTTACTTAATCACTATTTCATATACCTCCCTCCACATGAAATTTGTGAGGCTTGAAGAATAGCCAATCTGGTTAGCTTTTCCTAAAGCGACCCAACTGTATGAGCTTTAGTGAGATAAGAAAATAATTGCGATTGGTGGACAGATTGTTTTGAAACCGCCCTAACGGTAAGGGGCGGGTCCCTCGTGAATTCATCTCCTTCCTGTTTCTTAAAGGCAATAGTGAAAGAGAGGGGAGGTGTCTGTTGACCCTTCATTTCATTGGTTCTAGTGAATTTACCCGCTTGGACTCCTCTAGGGGCGGGAGATGTAGACCAATCAGGATATGTTTTACAGAGACCTTAGTTTGATGCTGGGGCTGCGCAGGAAAGGCTGTGAGGCGCGCTCATTCTGAGATCTCATCGCTGATTGGCCTAAATTCTTACTCCCTTCCCCTCATTCGGCCCTACGGGAATGAGTGCAGGGTCGCTACCCAATCACCGCGCGCTCCGCCTCCCGTCTCTTCCCGCCCTCCACTGGGGTCGCTGAATCGACGTAGGCCAACGCTTCCTCCCCGGCAGCTCCTGCGCTCTTTCATCGACCAGCTTTTGAAAGGCGCTTTCTGATTGGCCGAGTCTCGGGCCCGCGCCCGTTGCTCCCAGACTGTGGCCAATTGGCACCCGTGTTGCACAGCATGGAACCAGGGAGGAGGGGGAGGTGGCGGCGGCCATTTTGAGTTGCTGCCGCCATTGGAGTGAGCCCCCCCTCTCCCCCTCGTCTCCTGACAGTAAAGGTTTAAGGGGGACAGAACCCTGGGAGGCCGGGCCGGGCTCGGGGGCCACCCCGGGGGCCCGGGCCATGGATGTGCGCCGTCTGAAGGTGAACGAACTTCGGGAGGAGTTGCAGCGCCGCGGCCTGGACACTCGGGGCCTCAAGGCCGAGCTTGCGGAGCGGCTGCAGGCGGCGCTGGAGGCCGAGGAGCCCGAAGACGAGCCGGAGCTCGAGGCCGAGGAGGAACCGGAGATACCTGGGCACAATAACGAGGAGGTCGAGACCGAGGGGGGCTCCCAGCTGGAAGGGACCTCGCAGCCACCGCCGCCGGGGCTGCAGCCGCATCCGGAACCTGGCGGCTACTCGGGGCCGGACGGACATTGTGAGAGTGCGTGGGGCGGGGGGCCGGGGAGTCTCGTGTCCGGGCCGAGGAAGGGCTGTGGGATCTCGCTACCCGCCGCCGAGAAGGATCTGGGGACCGGGGCCTCGGGACAACCGAAGGGTGGGTCCTGAGAGAGACTGGGAGCGGGGGCTCTCAGTTCCGGAGATGAGGACGGTCGGGGGGTGAGGGCGGTGGTGGAGGATTCTGGAGCCTGGGGCTCGGAGACCCGAAGCCGTGGTTTCTGGGAAGGGGCGTCGGGAGAACAAGAGGTTGTCTCTTGGGGACCAGGAGGGTCTTGGAGATGGTGATCCTGCCGTGTGGAGCTGGGTGGGCTCGGGGGCTGAGCTGGCCCAGGTGTGGGTTGGACCCGGGAGCCGTGTTTTCGGGGCTGGGGACGGAATGACCAGTGTCCGGGGCTGGGAGTGTCTTCAGGATGGAGGATCCTGGAGTTTGCTGCTGGATGGGGTAGCGGGAAGTCTCATTTCCTAGGAGGGTTGGGGAGATGGGGGTGAGGGTGATGTCTGGCCGGGGAGATTGCTCTGGCATAAGCTGGTGAGCATTTGGGGGCTGTGGGGGACCCACATCTGAGTGAAGAGAGCCTGGGGACTGTGAGATCCAGAGCGAAGGCTAACCTTGAGGCAGGGGCTTTTGGTGTTGGGAAACCTGGAGCCCTGGCTGATTCTAGAGGAGGAACAGGGAGTCCTGGTGTCCAGAAGCTGGCAGGGGAGGAAAGGATACTTCACTGGACCCAGGACCTGAAGGTCTAGAGCTGACAAGGCTCTGAGGACAGACCACTCAGTGGCCAGCGCCAAATGGTCTTGGAGATTAACGGAATGGAAAACATGGTGGTTGGGGTGGGGCAGATAACAAGTAGGAATTTGAACTCGTAGGAGCATCTGGGGGACAGGATCCTTGTGTCCAGTATAGGAGTGTGTAGCTGATCTAGTAAATCTGGGAAAGGGAGTGTGTATATGATGTGGAAGGAGGAGGAAAAGTGGGTGGGGTGATGGGTGCTTAGGGTGGAGTGGAGGAGTGTTTCTAGGACTGAGTGTGTCCCAAAGAGGTCTTGGTCCCCGAAGTGGTTACCTGTGTGCCTGGGGATTGAGGGTTTGTGTGTGGCTGAAGAGGTAGCAGGGGACCTCTGCAGCATCGGAAGGTATGGCTGGGAGTGAGGGATAGGACACATCTGTGATTGTCTGAAGAGAGGGAAGCTTGGGGTGGGAGGGAGTAAATCGGGGGTTAGAAAAGGGTGGCTTTCTAGCAGGACTGGGGAACGGGGATCAGAGAGGTTAAGGAGTAAGTAAGGACTCGCATCCAGGGTTTGTGGTTATTTCTTTGAAAAGAGGGCACCCTGGGCCTTGAGGCTAAGAGAAAGAGAAGAAGGAGGTCATGGGAGAGAAAAGATGGGGTTAGTATTGGGTACTTACTTGTTCCTGAGAGATGGGATCTCCTGGAGGGGGCAGCTTGAGTGTAGATTTGAGTGGAAGGTGGCCTGAGGGTTGTCCAGCACCCAAATGCTGGGAAGAATGCTCCATTGAAGAGCTCTGTGAAGAAAGGAGGGAGTGGCCCAGCATGCAGGTCTGGGGCAGGAGAGCCCCTGGCAGGGATGCCTGGGAAGAGCCAGTGGCCAGTGGTGCCTCAGGAAAGTGAATTAGGTGCTTCTAGATTCAAGACAGGCTTTGTTTCAGATACGGCTCCATGACGAACAAGTGACTTCACCTCCGTGAGTCCTGGTTTCCTGTGTGTAAGATAGGGATAATAATAGTGCCCCCTGGGTAGCTAGGAACGAGATCACATGTTTAAGGAGCTTAGCCCTGGGCCTGCCTGTTACTAGGAGCTGGATGTCTTAGAGAGGGGAGAAGGACCCCAGAATCACAGCGCCTCTCACAAGGCTGCCTCTGTGGCCCAGAAGAGATTCTCTGAAAGAGATGGAAGGCTGTAGGAAGAGCACTATGCTTGGAGTCTGAGGGAAACAGAATGGTTTGAAGGGGCATCCAGTGTTCCAGTTAAGTAGATAGACTCTTTCTCTCCCATCCCCTGCAACAAAACCCTTTGAGCCCTCTTCATGCCTCCCTCCAAGCATTCTTCAGTTCTGGTAAGCAGACCTGTTACAAGCCATGTTGTCTGTGGCTTCCCTCCCTTCGAGCTGCACCTGGTTTGTGCCCAGAGGTGTTTGTCCTCTGAGAAAGAATCCAGTCAGTTAGCAAATGGCAGAAGAGTCTCCTTCGCTGTGGTTGTGCCTCACAGTCCCGGCAGTCACTTATAGGGCCCTAGAGGCACCTAGCCAAGCTTGCCCCTGGAGTGGAGAGCCTGGTGGCTGCTCATCCTAGGTTTCCAAACTTCTTTCTGAGTTTGACTGCAAGGTTCTTGAGGGAATTTCGGGCTTAGTACTCTGGTTTTAGTCTCACCTGTGAGCTTTCACATGTGTTACCCCATTGGTTGGCAAACTCATTAGTCAACAGAGCCAAATATCAACTGTACAACGATTGAAATTTCTTTTGAGGGCCAAATTTTTTAAACTAAAACTTCTTCTAACGCCACTTCTTCAAAATAGACTCGCCCATGCCTTGGTATTTTGTGGAAGAGCCACACTCAAGAGGCCAAAGAGCCACATGTGGCTCGCGAGCCACAATTTGCCGACCACAGTGTTATCCCAATCCCAGGAATGTTTTCTCCATCCTCATTACTTACCTTTACTTGTCTAATCCCAGTCTTAGCTCCCGGTACTTCTCTGTAGCCCTTAACACAGCCATAATTACTTTGTGTGTGTGTGTGTGTGTGTGTGTTTAATGTCGGTATGTCTTAAACTAGAGGCTTCAGTGGAACAAGTTTATTCTCATCTGTATCCCAGGGTCTGGTGTGTTGTATGCACTCCATGAATAGTTAATATTGTTATTCTTACCACCCTTCATCTAAGCTGCTGGACCCACAAGACACTTTCCCAGAATCTTCCTACCTAACTCCAAATATTTCAGGACATGATTCCTGTTTTCTTAACAATTCCTTTCCCCTCTCCCCATTCCCCTTTCAGCTGAGACGGTTACCCCTTATCTTTGCAGCTACCGTATTGGCAAGGTGGAGGACAGTCTTAGGGGGGTTAGTTGTGCAGGTGGGAATATTAAATTGGGCTGAGAACTGATTTGTGCTCTAAATCTTTTTTATTTCATTTTTAAAATTTATCTTTATTATTGAAAGTATTACAATGTCCCCTTTTCTCTCTCCCACCCCCCACCCCCTATTGACCTCCCTCCTCTCCACTCCCTTCCCCTCCCCAGGTATTCATCACACTGTTGTCTGAGTCCATGAGTTTTGCTTATAAGTTCTTTGATTAATCTCCCCACCTCCCTCCATCCCCCCCAAAAATCATTAGTCTGTAGTATGCTTCCATGACTCTGGATCTATTTTGTTTATCAGTTTATTTTGTTCATTAGATTCCACATATAAATGAGATCATGTGATATTTGTCTTTCTCTGACTGGCTTATTTCACTTGGTGTAGTAGTTTCCAGGTCCCTCCATGCTGTCTCAAAGAATAAGAGATCCTTCTTTTTTGCAGCTGCACAGTATTCCATGCTGTAAATGTACCATCTTTTTTATCTACTCATCTACTGAGGGGCAGGGCACTTGGGCTGTTTCCAGATCTTAGCTATTTTTAAAAATGCTGCTATGAACATAGGGTGCATATATTCTTTCTGATTAGTGTTTCAGGATTCTTAGGATGTTTTCCTAAAAGTGAGATTACTGGGTCAAATGATAGTTCCATATTTACTTTTCTGAGGAAATTCCACACTGTGTTCTATAGTGATTGTCTGCATTCCCACCATCGGTGTACTAGGGTTCCTTTTCTCCACAACCTCACCAGCACTTGTTTGTTGTTTTGTTAATGGTAGCCATTCTGACAGGTACCTCATTGTCATTTTAATTTGCATCTGATGATCAGTGACATTGAACATTTTTTCTTTTCTTTTTTTAAATATATTGATTTTTTACAGAGAGGAAGGGAGAGAGAGAGCTAGAAAGGTCGATGAGAGAGAAACATCTAGTACCAGCTACCTCTTGCACCACCACCACCACCACCACCACCCCTCCCCCACCAGGGACGTGCCCACACCAACGTACATGCCCTTAACCGGAATCGAACCTGGGACCTTTCAGTCCGCAGACCAACGCTCTACCGCTGAGCCAAACCGGTTTCGGCCATTTTTTCATATGTATCTTGGCCATTTGTCCTCTTTGGATAATTGTCTGTTTAGGTCCTGTGCCTGTGCTCTAAACTTAAAGGTTGTTCCCTGAAGGTAGCTCCCTAAGCACTATAACTTGTCACAGAACAGTAGGCCTACTTTTTTTTTTTTTTTTAATTCTTTATTGTTGAAAGTATTATGGATGTCCCCTTTAATCCCCCATTGGCCCCCTCCACCCTGCCTTGACCCCCTCTCCCTGCCCCAGTAGGCCTTTGGTTTTTCAGCTGTGCTCTACAGGGTACTTACTATGTGTCTGTTGAGTTGCCTTCCACCCTGGAGTAGAGTCTTACAAGGCAAGTTGGGCCCCTTCTCTGATCCTCTTGTCTCCTTGCTTCAACCAGAGCAGTTCTGCTTCCATTGGTTTTCTGTATTGGGATTCTGTAGAACCCAGTCACACAGATTGATGTTCAATCTTTTGTGGGGCAAGAGAGCATGTCCTCAGGCAGCTGGGACTGCTGACTGCCAGGATAGGTTTCCATCGGAAGATGTTGTCACACATTTTAGCCTCTGGCAGACACTGTCCCCAAGGTAGCATAAAAAAGCCACCTCTAGTCCCAAGAAGAACCCTTCTAAATGTCTGTTTTTTGTTTTAAGATGTCATGGACAATATTACCAGGCAGAACCAATTCTATGAGACTCAGGCCATCAAACAGGAGAACGAGTCAAGCTATGAGAGAAGACCATTGGAAATGGAGCAGCAGCAGGCCTATCGCCCAGGTAGGAAAGTACACATGGTGCATCTCTTTTGAGGGAAATAGAATCTATAGGGTAGGGGGAAAGTGGGTTTACAATTTTTTGTATGGCAAATACAATAATTAATAAATAATATAAGGATAAACTCTGTACTTTGCATGCTCACAACTGTAAACTTACTTTTGCCACCCTGTATACGTGCGTGGCCCTTACCCTCTACATAGATCCCATCTTTCCAGAGAGACTGCATCTTCCATTCGGGCTTTGTCACTCCGGCAAGATTCTTTTAAAAGAAAGAACATAATCCCGCTTCCAGGTGTTAGAAGACGGGAGTCTTCATGGTTATGTTTTTAGATGTTAGTGTCAGCACCTTGGACAATTTAGACCTGGAAGCAGATACTTAGGTCGTATTTAGAATCTTCGAATGTGGAAGCCAGAAAGCACCTTCTAAATCTAGTCAGGTATTTCCCAAGCTCTGAAGAATATTGTTCCAAGAGCTGTCATTAGGGCCTTCTCAGAAAGGGTTTCTTGGCTAAACATACCTGGAAATATGCATATACTTTATCGCCTCTGGGAGAGTCACTGCTCATTAGAGCATTAAAAGCTCTGAGAAGTCCTGGTTTGAAAAAAGTTCTATCGTGGTTTAAGCCCAGGATTTCCTAAACATGTAAATATATCTTTGCAGAACAAAGATTATCATTATGCCAGTTTGGAAAACACATGTAATCCAGTTCTTTCCCTGTTTTATACATTGGGGATGTGACATGTCTGATGGTAGAGCTTGGGTTAGAACCTAGGAAACTGGCTTCTGGAACACTGCATTTGTGTCCTACTGTTTGGAAAACTGAGTCCTACTCTTGAGTAATGACAGAGCCTGGACTGACTCCTACTTGTGTGCTCCTTTCACTATTTTGTGGCCCCTGTGCCATAGTGAATCTAGTTGACTATGTAATTCCATCCTGGTTCATCCACAAAGTAAAATCCCCAGAAATTTCTTGTGGGTGGGTCAAGATTTTAATAATTGTGGGTTAAACTGCAGATTTATTCAGGCTCTGTGAGACTTGTGGTGTCATTTGGCCCAAGGAGAGTATTTTTTGTATTATTATCAGTAGACATCAGGGCCTCCTGTGAGCTCAGTGTTGTGCTGGGAACCAGGGAGGCCCTCTTCAGATGGGTGAACACCATCCCTGTCCTGGAGAACTTCTCTGAGGAATTTGGTCTGCATGCCAAAACTAGGGCATGATCCAAGGTGGTCTTGGGTTGCGTGCTGAGACAAGTAGATGTAAGTGATCTACAGCATGAGGTATAGATGCTGTGGAAAAAAGTAAAGTTAGGTTGAATCCAGGGTTTGCTCTTGATTAGGAACTGATTCTTGGAGTCTGCCTAAGATTGGGACATTCCTGTGGTCCGCAGCAGGTTATCTCATCCTGACTTTTTACTCTGGAAGATTCACTGAGGCCATCACATTGATGGGCTGGCTTAACACATTGCGGACCAGTAGTTTTATTGCTAGTTTTACCCAGTGACCAGATAAGTTTCTATTGAATCAGTACAAAAGACGTTTTACATAAATGTTAAAGGCATGTTTTAAAATTAAATACCCATTGCATTTTCAAGTTATTTAAAGTATGATACTTTGTAAAACACTATGTAATATGAAGCGACAATTCTCATAATCCATCTGCAATGTGTTAAGTGAAGACCCTCCCTTCTGGAGTGGTTAAAGCCAGTGGAGTTAGCTGCAGAATGACAATACGCTATTGAATGGACCTTTCCCCCCTTCCTTGTAAGATTGAAGGAGCTTTATAAGAACTGAGATGGAGAAATTCTTTGGGAGGAGAAATTGAATGGACTTGTGAAATCTCAGGTTAAAGGGATCTTAGGGTGCAGGCCAAGGTGGTTGCCAACTGTCTTAGGCCCTTTAGCAGATTAGCCAAAGGCAAGCAACCATGCCAGCTTTAGGTAGGTCTTTAGAGAGCAATTCTTATTTAGTGTTAAAGTCCCCTCTACCTCCTCATGAAGCTTAAGAGTTATCTGGCAACTGTCATTTCATCAACTGCCAGTGCTGATGTGCCTGGCAGCCATCCCCGGCCTCCCTTTGTCCTAACCCTGTTCTTCAGTAGCCTTCCGGCTCCCTTAGCAGGCTTCCATTGAACTCAGCAAGCTGCCTGGGCCCAGCTCTTTATCAATGCAGTCAGGATCCTGCCAGTATCTTCTAAGGTAAAGGGGACCAGAAAACTGATAACTGAGGAATTTCTGAGTGTCTTAACCATCTGGAATTGTCCTGACAGTGGAAGGGAAGACAGAGATGAAGCAAGAACCACCCACCAGCTTCCTCCCGCCTGAAGCATCTCAATTCAAGCCAGACAGACAGCAATTCCAGAGTCGCAAGAGGCCTTATGAAGAAAACCGGGGAAGGGGGTACTTTGAGCACCGAGAGGATAGGAGGTGAGAGTGATGCAATAGTCATCCTTGTTCCAGTAGGTCTCTATGTCTGTAGTCCAGTGCCTCCTAGGGCCTTTGTACTAACCAAGAGGAGCAGGCAGAGCAGGGTTCTCGCTGCCCTTGTACCCCTTCTCCCCCTTTCTTCCTGCACTCACTGTCAAATTCAACTTCCCAAAACTTTGGTCCTTTCTGTAACTACAGGGTCAAGTCCAAACATCTTAGCCTTTCACGAGTAAGATAACAGCTTACCTTTCAGTCTTTGCCCCATTGCCCTGCAGTCCTCATAGTGTCCTATTCATAACGGCTGCTCAGTATCCCTTGATTGGGGGAGGGGGGATCTATTTCCTCACCCTTCTCTTAAAAACATTCCCTTCATCCATTTACTCATTCATTCATTGTCAGTGCTCATAGTGCTTTCACCTCTGGGTTGGACACTGGGGAAAGAGATTATTTGGACAGTGGATTTGTCTTTCTGTTGCTGCTAATGAAGGGACTCAGGCAGACACATGTACAAGTGAGCCTCAGTAGTCGGGGTGAGTGTGAGTGTTAGAAGTTCACAGGAGGGCAGGGCTTCTCTGTCCTGATCATTTGCTTTTTCCCTTTTCAGATAAGGCCCTCCCACCCCCCGCCCTCATTCACCCTAAGTCCAGTCCTACTTCTTCCTACCCTCCTTCAGCTCCTGTATGAAGCCTTTTCTAATCACAGAAAGTAGGAATGACCATTCCTCTATTCATCTGGACTAGTCATATGACATTTTGTTTTCTACCTGGGGGAGTCAATCTTCTTTTTTTAAACTATTTTTTTTTTTCCAGAAAGGAAGGGGGGGGGATAGAAACATCAATGATGAGAAGAATTATTGATTGGCTGCCTCCTGCACACCCCCCTATTGGGGATCAAGCCCATAACCTGGGCATGTGCCCTTGACTGGAATTGAACCCAGGACTTTTCACTCCTCAGCCTGACGCTCTATCCACTGAACCATCTTCTAAGTAGCTACGATTCTCTTTAAAACAGGGCCCGGGTCTCATGGGCTATGACTAAAATTAGGACATGGAACTCTCCTGAGTTTCTTCCATTGCCCCACAGAGCAGAGGAGGAGTGCTCGGTCTGGGCCAGGCTGGCAGGGAAAGCATAATAGAGTGGACTCACCGTGTGATGAGCTTTCTTTGATCAGGCTCTGTACTGGCAGGCTGGAAGGCCTGAGGAAAGCCTGCTGCTGAGGGAGTGCCAGTAGCCAGATGGGCATGGGGTGCCTGATTTGGGCATACAGTGCACTAAGGTCATCCAGACTGTCCCAGGCAGGACCCTGGACATTAGACTCACCCTTCTACCACTTCCCTACATGTTAGAAACTAGCAGTATTTTAATATAGTCCCCTTTTGTGTTTTGCTAGGAAGATGAATGTTGTTCATAATTTAGGACATTTTTGAAAGACAGACAAAATATGGGTCATTTCATATCCTTTCAGATACTAAGTTTTAGGAAGCCTGATATGTAAATACATTGTATTTACTGAGGTTTATCCAAGCCTTTGCACATTTCCCTTCCTTGACCAGTACCCTTTGAGCTACTACAACCTCTCTTCAGTAGTAGTTCAATATGAAGGCATGCCAAGGTTATGGGTCAGAATCTTGGGTTGTGAGAGAAGATCTCCTTTGGAAAAGTTCTCTAAATGACTCTTGATGGCCCTCTTTAGCAGAGCATGCCCTCTCTGATCCCCGTCCCCACCCTAGGAGTTAACAATCATTGCTCTCATTGCAAGGATGTAGGATTAATAGAGGGTTGGGGTTTTTTTGTTTGTTTGTTTTTCGCTGATCTCTGTGGGAACAAATTTAAATGCAGGAAGGCCACTTGTACATTCCAGCAGAACCTTCATTTCTCTTCCTCTGCGCTCATTCAACTGTTTTCATGTGACTTAACCCCTATTTCTGGCACAGGGGCCGGTCTCCTCAGCCTCCTGCTGAAGAGGATGAAGATGATTTTGATGACACCCTTGTTGCCATCGACACATGTGAGTCTTTGTGTGCCTATCTGATTCTGCCTTCCAGTTACTATTTGGAAACTGCCTTGACCTTCACAGGATCTCTGCCCAGCACCATCCAGAGGCAGTGTAAGTCCAGATAGAGTGCTGGTTTGGAGACAAGATCTGCTCCCGGCTCAAACTGTGGAATCCTGAGCAAGTCATTCTACTTCTCGGAGCTTCTCTTCATGGAGGAGTAATCCTACCCTAATACCTCAAAGAACTTCCAGTGACACTGCAGAGGAAGGATGTGAGAGCGGTTTGGAAACCCCTGCAACACCCTGTACACAGTGGAGGTTATAATCTAATCAGGAAGGGAACCTGAGTGCTTCTAGGGAAACTTAACTCTTTGGCAACCAGTTTCCATTAGCTGCTCATGTTCCTGGTGAAACCAATGCCACTTTGTCTTCTGAGGCATTAACCTGGCCGGCCCTGCTCTTTGTCCTCCAGTTCAGTTTTCTTTCCACTGGATAAGTGGCTTTCCCCTTGACTACGTATCTAAACACTTAGAGAAATGATTATAGAAGTCCTGTCAAAGTATTGGGTGGCAGTGGTCCATGAAGCAGCATCTGATCAAATGCTGTATGTGCAGACCATGGCATTTAGCCTTTAGAGAAAAGAGAGAGCAGCTGGATGGGGTCAGGAAAGATACTTAGAGGCATGGCTGGCTTCTTGAGTGGGAAGAGTCTGAGCTACAGCAGGCTAGTCCTGAGCTACAGCAGGCTAGTCCTAGGCCTACAGGAGGAGGTGGGAGCCTATGTGCCTTGTCATGTGTGTCAGGGTCAGATATTTGTGCAGCTGTTGGTGGTGGGAGTCTGACTTCCTTACTGATAGTGTTAGCACAGGGAGATGGTTGAAGTGAATGGCAGTGGGGATTGGTCTTTTTTATCATTATAAAAGCCTTTGAAATTGGTGAGGATATGGACCCTAGCCCTAACAAGTGTCCATCTTTGTAAAAGACATTCGTGTGCAATTTCCAAAGGTGCCTCCCAAAGACTATCTTTGGATCCATCCAGGTGAAGGACCCCAGTGTCTATGTGAAGTGGCTGCTTTGATCCTGTGCAGGCCAGTTTGCAGTAGTTTGTACTCTTTCGACTGAAAGGGAGATTGGCTAGGCAGTGTGGTCGATTTCTCATGAGCCTGTCCCCACAATGTGTCAGCTTGTGTACTCCTCGTTAACGTTCTGAAGGACCTTAATTTTTGCCTGTGCATGTCTCTCTGGGACCTTTGAAACGTCAACCAAACTCCAGGCTTTTTCCTCCACAGATAACTGTGACCTCCACTTCAAGGTGGCCCGAGACCGGAGTAGTGGCTACCCACTTACAATTGAGGGTTTTGCATACCTGTGGTCAGGAGCCCGTGCCAGCTATGGGGTCAGAAGGGGCCGTGTGTGCTTTGAGATGAAGGTGAGTGGAAACAACAGAGGGGTTGGGGGCAGAAAGTAGGTTCATCCTTTGGAATAGCCTGCCATCAGCCTCCCTGGCCAGAGCACAATTTTAAGAGATTTGATTGAGCATAGACTTTGTGTCCATGCTAAAAAAGTACAGTGAACTTAGAGAACTATACCATTGCTAAACACTATATCAGCAGGCCTACCATACATTTCTTCATTAAGCTGTTTTTTCCTTGTTGGGATTTGACCCAGATATTATACAGCCAACCATTCTAGAGGTGACATGTTTGTAGAATTGAGAAAAGGAGTAGTTTGGGAAAAAACTGAGCTAGAAAGAATGAACTTAAGCAGCACCAGTTAGAGGGATTTTCAAGGGAGAGTAGGACAAAAAAGGTTTTGTCATCAGGCTTCAGGTGGCACAGAACAGTATAGAGGGAAAAGCAAAACAAAAAATTTTTTATTTGCCTGCATTTAAAAAAAAAATATATTGTTTTTTTACAGGGAGGAAGGGAGAAAGAGAGAGAGTTAGAAACATCCATCAGCTGCCTCTTACTCCCCACTGGGTGTGTGCCGGCAACCAAGGTACATGCCCTTGACCAGAATAGAACCTGGGACCCTTGAGTCCACAGGCCAACACTCTATCCATTGAGCCAAACTGGTTAGGGCGGGAAAAGCAAAATTTGTGCTCACATCCTCCCGGTGCCCTTTGCACACTCCAGAGGTAACTTGTATTAACAATTTTTTGTTGGTTTTGTTTCCTTTTTTGTTTGGTTAATTCTTACCCAAGGTTATTTTCCCATCGATTTTTAGAGAGAGTGGGAGGGAAGGGGAGAGACAGAAACATTGATATGAGGGGGACACATCGATTGGTTGCTTCCTGCATGCATCCCAACTTGGACCACAGATTGAGCCTGCAACTACATTATGTACCTTTGACCTGAATTGATGCTCTATCTGCTGAGCCAAACTGGCTAGGGCAACAATTTCTTGAGTATCTGCCTTTATGTATCAAAACATGATAGTTAATATTAATGGAACACTGCATGCATAAGATATGGTGCAAAGCTCTACACAGATATCTCCGTTAATTCTCACAGTGCTATCATGAAATAGGAACTATTATATCCATTTTTTTAGAGGTAGAAGCTGAGACCTAGGGTTATTGTTTTCATTGACGGTAGATACTGTTGATTGTAAGTTACCCATTTTGTGTGCTGCTCATAGAGCAACACAGCCAATGAAATGAACAAAGTTCCCTTTTATCCCATCAATTTTAAATATATTTTTAGGGATTTCAGAGAGCAAGGGAAAGAGAGAGAGAAACATCAGTGGTGAGAGGGAATAATTGAATTTATTGGTTGCCTCCTATATGCCCCCTACTGAGGATCGAGCATGCAACCCAGGCATGTGTCCCAACCAGGAACAGAACCTGTGACCTCCTGGTTATAGGTCAATGCTCAACCACTGAACCACACCTTCCTATCTTTTTTTTTTTTTTTTTTAATAGATTTCAGAGACTAAGAGAGAGAAATATCAATGAGAGCGAATCATTGATCAGCTGCCTCCTATATCCCCCCTACTGGTGATGGAGCCCAAAATCTGGGCATGTGCCCTTGACCAGAATCAAACCTAGACTCTTCAATCTGCAGGCTGATGCTCTCTCCATTGAGCCAAACCAGCTAGGGCTTATGTTTTTTGTTTTGTTTTTTGTTTTTTACTGCTGCATCATATTCTCATAATCTGTGGTGTGCCATATTCATTGGATGTGCCATAATGTGACCAGAGCCTTGTGGATTTTTTTTTTCTATTTGTTTCTGGTAATATAAACAGTGCCACGCTAAATTGCTGGGTTGGACAGCCTTGTACATTTGCAATTTTAAATGGAGACTGCCAAATTGTCCTCCAAACACGTTGAACCAATTTATCCTTCTATACCAAATATTATGAGCACTTGTTTCCCTGCAGCAAGTGTTAGAACTAAAAATAACTGTTTTTTGAGCCCTGACTGGTATGACTCAGTTGGTCGGGCCAGTTCAATTCCTGGTCAGGGCACATGCCCAAGTTTCAGGCTCAATCCCTGGTAGGTGTGGCAGAGGCAGCCTATCGATGGTTCGTGCTCACATTGATGTTTCTCTTTCTTCCTCTTTAAAAATCAATAAAGTATTTAAGTAAATAGAAATAACTGTTTTTGAAAAACCCATATCTGTGGTTCTGCACTTCCCTGAGCCCTTCAGAGGACCTAACTTCAGAGCAGCTTAGACCTTTTTCCCAACAACAAAAGCCATTCCTGTTTTTTTTTGTTTTGTTTTTTATAATATGTTTTAATTGATTTCAGAGAGTAAGGGAGAAGGAGAGAGAAACATCAGTGGTGAGAGAGAATCACTGATCAGCTGCCTCCTGTATACCCCCAACTGGAGACTGAGCCTGCAACCCGGGCATATGAATCCTGACCTCCAGGTTCATGGTTTGATGCTCAACCACTGAGCCACACTGGCCAGGCAAGTCATCACTGTTTTCAATGTGTTATGTACTTTCTTCCTATATTACCTCATAAACCACCTGCCTCCAGAGAATGAATCAGTCTGAGCCCTCTTGTTCTCTGTCCCTAGATCAATGAGGAAATCTCCGTGAAGCACCTTCCATCCACAGAGCCTGACCCACATGTTGTCCGTATCGGCTGGTCCCTTGACTCCTGCAGCACCCAGCTAGGTAAGGGGAGGGCAGCCAAGCAATCCAGAGAAGAGCAGTTGCCTCTATCCCTGGATTCTTGTGCTTCCTAAAAATCTCTTCCTAGTGTTGAAATCAACAGAACTATCCTGGGGTGGAACATACTTAAGGATTAGGTATATGCCATTGCCTGTGTGGGCAAACAAGATCCAACCACAGTTATATAACAACTTTTCTATGAAAAATTTATCCGTCTTTTAGGAGAAGGTTCGAAGTTCTCTTTAAAAAAGATCAGTTGTCTCCTGTCCTCAAACTTTATTGGAAATAAAAATAAGTTTCTCAAGCCCCGTTAAGTTCTGTCTAGGGTTTTCTGTCCAGAGCCTAACTCGGAGTAAAAGAGGAAACAAAGAACAGTGGATCCCTGCAGGACTGGTTGGCAGAGGCAGGGGCTACCCTGTGAGAGGTTTTGAATTTTCCTAGGACCCCAGGCTTTAGGCTGTCTGCCCCAAGTAACTGATTTCAGTAACCAATGCTGAGACCTTCTGCCTTGGTCATAATCATCTGATTACAAAAGTAATATATGCTGCTGCTGAAAATTTAGGCCATACAAATAAAGGAAAATAAAAAACCTAAACCTGAGAGACATAATTGTTCTGACTGTTCACTTAAGACTGATTCTTGAAAGTGAAAATGTTAGGTCAGAAGGAGTGTACAGTTTTTATTCAGATATATATTAATGTTTTTTGCATATCTCATTTTATTTTTGTCTAAGGTTTAATGTGTGAGTGGTGGGTTGTTGATACAGATGAAGATTCAAAGATCAGTATGGTCAAGCAGCTGGTTCATAGAGGAACTAAGCTTGTTGGCTCCTGCTTTTCTGGCAGGATGCTCCTTGGGTTCCTGGCCAAGGATCTCTGTATAATCCAGGTGTCATCCAGGGCTCTTGGGATCTCAGTCGGAATACTTCAGCCTCCAGTTCTGTAGCCTAAGGAAATCCAGTGTCTTTCCAATGAGTTAGACTTCATGGTTTCCAGAAGCAAAATCCAGCTTCTTGGCTTTTTGCTGCCCAAATCCCCTGGCACAAAAAATTGATGCCATTAGATTTACTGAATATTGAGTGTCACAGAGAAGGGTTGCATCTCAGCACACGGCCTTCCTCAATCCCAGCTCCTTTCTTCCCCTCCCTTTCTTTCCAGATTCTCTCTTTCTGCGCAGAACAATTCAGTTCTGCTCCTGTTCGCAGACTTTAAACCCATCAAGCCCTCAGGTGTTCTGCATATGCAATGAAGGGCTTCCTATCAATGGAATCTTCCTCACCTTCCCTCTCCCCTGTCCCCCAAAAAGTATCTGATGAGTAAAATAGTAAAGAAAGTTGTTTGTTTGTTTGTTTTCCTTAAAAGTGTGTGACAGCCCGGGTGGCATGGCTCAGTGGTTCTAAGAGGTCACGGTTCAATTCTAGGTCAGGGCACATTGCCCAGCTTGTGGGCTTGATCCCTGGTGTGCAGGAGGCAGCCAATTAGGATTCTCTCTCATCATTGATGTTTCTCTGTTTCTCTCCCTTCCTTTCCCCCCCTTTATTCTCTGAAATCAATAAAAATATTTTTTTCTTTTTTAAAGTGTGTGACAATCATAAAGGCTGTTGTGACCATCGCAGGTTTAACCTGCCTTTGCCTATTTCTTTCATCAGGCGAAGAGCCTTTCTCCTATGGCTATGGAGGCACTGGGAAGAAGTCCACCAATAGCCGATTTGAAAACTACGGAGACAAGTTTGCAGAGAATGATGTGATTGGCTGCTTTGCGGTGAGTGCCAGCAGCCTGTGGGAGTTGGCAGAACCAAATGTTGGTCCTATTAGGTGGACCTGCAGACTTTCCCCCCCTCAGAATACTCTGTCCATTGTCTGCACCATGTCCAGCCACTCTCGCCATACCTCTTTGTCTCTCTTTGACAGACTGGAATGTTTGCTGTCATTTTGTGCATAAATCTACCATTCTACTTGCCTGATCTTTTGTACAAACCTATAAGACAGCACCTTGAAGAACTTTGGGGTTGTTGATTTGCACACCCTTCCTCCATTCCTAGATACCAGAGTGACATTTTCTAAACCCAGGAATTTCTTGCTTTTCTTTGCTGCCAAATAGCCTGCTGCTCTCAAAGATAGTGGTGTTGGTGATTGCCCACTTTGGCATAATCTCATCCCTAAACTTCTCTCTTCTTTCACCTCACATTGGTTGAAGCAGGCTTCCTACAGTGCACTGCCTCATAGGACAGCAGGAGTGGATATAAAACAGAATAAGGTAGAGGGTGCCTGAGCTGCTGCCGAACTTCAGTCTCCAAGAGCAGTGACCCACACAGTGCTGTAGACTCTGGCTATCTGCTCAGGGACCAGACTCCCTAACCCCAGTCCCTGCTCTTCCACTCACAGCCATGGTCAACTTACTCTCCCTATATTTCACTCTTCCTTAAATGAGAATCTTTGCACCTACTTCAGAATCTCATGTGGGATCATTAAATTAATCTTTCAGAAGCACTGACAATATTGCCTGGCACATGGTGTGTTCTCAGTAAATCCTACTTAGTACTGTTACCTTTAGGATTTATAGATGTTTGTGAAATGTGCCACAAGAACCTGACAAGGGGTGGCTGCCCAGGTGGATGCTTCCTCTTAGTCTTGTTTTCTCCCTCCCTCAGATTTGTACACATATGCTCCTTTTTGGGGGGTTGTTTTTCTTCTCCCCACCCCCCCTCCTTACTTTGAAATAATTTTAAACTTAAAGAAAAGCCCTAAGAATTCTCATAGAGTCTTGTCCCAATTCTAACATCTGCTTTACCATTTTCTCAAATATATGATTTTTGTCTAACCTATTTGAGAATGTGATCCCTATATCATATCTTTATTTCTAGATACTTCAGCAAGCATTTAACCACACAGTAGTTATTAAATTTAACATTAATGTAATGCTATTATCTACTCCTCAGTTTACATTTAAATTTTGTCAGTTGTCTTGACAATATTCTTTGGAGCAATTTTGTTTCTGGTTCAGGATCTAATCCAGGATCACTTACTGCATTCTCCTGTCATGTCGTTTTAGTCTGAAACAGTTTCTCAGTCTTTATCTTTTATAACCTCATTGTATTTTTAATAAAACCATGTTTATATTTATTCTAAACCTGGAATTTTTTTTCCATTTAACAGTAAATCTTGGTTATTTCTCCTTATCTATACAGATAATATAGATGTAAATGAGTTAAAAGAAAATTTTGAATAAATTCACATGGTTTGCTAAAACACCAAGAAATAGAAAAAGGTACACAATGTAAAGTCTTCTTCAGATCTTCATCTAAAGCAGCTTAGCGTATACATGTTCTACATCTTTTTTTTCTTAAATATATATCCTAGAGATCTTTTTATGTCACTTTCTAGAGGACTTCTTTGTTCTTTGAATATTCTGTAATCATTATGTAGATCAATTATGTTATATAATCATTCTTCTATTAGTGGACATTAGATTAGTTTCTTGCCTGGTCTGTATAGTATTCTGATGCAAGTGTCCATTCTGTTGGTGAATCTGAAAGTTATTTGCTGGAGTGGTTGATGCTGCAGTATTTCCCACTTACTACAGTATTTTCAAGATCTTTTTGTATTCTCACCCAGGGCCTCCTGTGTGGCCCACTTCCCCATTGGAGCACTTTTAGCAGTGCTGGAGTGAGCAGTTTGCATATCTATATGTTTTTGTGGGAATGTAGTTGTGTTTATTTCTAAAAGCATAACTTCTGAATCAAAGATATATTTTTAAATTTTTATATCTACCACCAAGAGTGCACTCCAAAGAGGTTGCAGCAATTTAACCTGTCATTATCTGTGACATTATTCCCTAGACTCTGTCCCATCTGAGCATGAGGTTCTGTCCGTGTGTGGCAATATGGAACTCCAGGCCTTGACTCTTGCTTCAACCACATCATCTCTACTTCTGTTTTTAAGATTCCATGTGCAATTTCCTCTGTTCAAAGGATGCCATGAATTTTTAAAAGGCTCAGGGTGAAAAGTTGGAGGAGGTGTAAAAATCCGTGACCTGAAGGAACCTAGGGGAGGAAACTTTTGTCAGTTCTTGAGTTCTCAACATTCACAAAATGTGCAGATAGAGAGAACAGTATAGTCCATTTCAAACAATAGGTGGGGCCTTTAGGATGACAACAGGAGATGTGACAGATGAGGCTACAAAAATGGCACACTTAGCCGAAACTGGTTTGGCTCAATGGATAGAGCATCAGCTTGGGGAGAACGGGCTTTCACTGCCACGTAGGGATTGGTGCAGGATTTAGTCTAGCAAATGTTTACATGTCTGCCTTGCATGGTCTTGAGCTGTGTAGGCACTTTGAGGTGACAGATAGGAAGGACTGTTAGAACTATGCCCTGTGAGCATGGAAGAGGGTGGTGAGAAAACTCCTTGGGAGAACGGGCTTTCACTTCGTTAAAGGGCAGGTCACGAGAAAAGAATACCACATCTTATATTATACTTTAAATCAGGAACCTGAGCTTTACTTTGGTACACTCTGCTGTCTAATTCCAGGATTTGAGCTTAATCGTAAACCTCTAGCCTGTACCCAAAGTGATCTTTCTGAAACACTTTTGAAAACCAGGCCACTTCTATATTTGAAACAGGTCAGGGGCTCTGCTCTGCCATCAGCATGAAGCTCTAACTCCTAAGGTGACAGAGAGATCCTCACATGCCAAGGGCAGGAGCCATGTCTTCTTCTCACACTCCAGCCCAGCATAGTGCCTAGCATCTTGGAGTGAGAACCCCTATTCATTATGTGCTCGCTGTGGAATAAACACACTAACCCACTTATTCCTCAGAACAATCCTGTGCACTGGAGTATCTTACCATGGCCTTCCCTTTTTGATAGTAAATGGTAGAACTGAAATAACCTGCCTTATAAAACAGGATCTTAACCACTAAACTTCAGCTGCTCAGTAGGGACTCAGTGAATAATTACTGAATATATTTGGTCACTGCCTGGCTCTCCAGCTACTGAAATCACTTCCCCCTCATCCTTTATGCTTCAGACAGCCTGACCCTGTGTTCTCTTATAACACTTCTCTTTATGGCTCTCTCCTCCTTCCCCAAACTTGGCTCATTTCATTTTGTTTAGGACTTGATTTATAAGTCCCTACCTTTCAGAGAATCTTGCTCCTCTGTAGGCACTCTTACTCAATTAAGATAGTGTCCTTATCTGTTCCCCACTAGGCCCTGACCTTTGTTAGGCCCAGATCACCATAGACATACGCACCAGGAAGAGCAGGAACTTGGAGAACATGTGTCAGAGTAGCAGTGAATTTCATTTGTGGAGCTGGACTTGACTGACGTAGCTTTCTTTCCATCTGTTTTCTTCACAGCCTGCTCTTGAGTTAAGGATTCACAGGATTGTCTATTCCTTCATTTTCGTCTCAGGCTAGGCACAAGGCTTAAATAATTGGGCCTTCCTAATATTATATGCTTCGCCGAAACCAGTTTGGCTCAGTGGGTAGAGCATCAGCCTGCGGACTGAGAGGTTCCGGGTTCTATTCTGGTCAAGGGCTTGTACCTTGGTTGCAGGCACATCCCCAGTACGGGGTGTGTAGGAGGCAGCTGATCCATGTTTCTCTCTCATCGATGTTTCTAACTCTCTATCCCTCTTCTTTCCTCTCTGTAAAAAATCAACAAAATGTATTTTTTTAAAAAGATTATATGCTTCATAGCCACCAGCCTTTGAGTCTTAAAAAGAGGGTTTGGGGGTACATTCTCTGAGCGGTTCCCTGGTGCTGCCCATTGTATCTGTATGTTGAGTGGTGGGGTTACAGCTAAATCAGGGAAGCTGGCTGTATTTCTTCTCTCTGCATCTGCTCTCTCCAACTGGTTCTCAGTGCCTTCAGCTGAGCATTGGCTTAAGGTTCTCTTCCTTTGGCTTTTTCTTCTAGGACTTTGAATGTGGAAATGACGTGGAACTCTCCTTCACCAAGAATGGGAAGTGGATGGGCATTGCTTTCCGAATTCAGAAAGAAGCTTTGGGGGGCCAGGCCCTCTATCCTCATGTCCTGGTGAAGAATTGTGCTGTGGAGTTCAACTTCGGGCAGAGGGCAGAGCCCTACTGTTCTGTCCTTCCTGGCTTTACATTCATCCAGCACCTTCCCCTGAGTGAACGGATCCGGGGCACTGTCGGACCAAAGACCAAGTCAGAGTGTGAGGTGAGTGGGCCTGGAAGACAAGTTAATGGCTGTCTCTCCTGGGCCACCTTACTGCTAAGGCAGAGGGGAGACATGGCAGCTGGGTATGGTGAAAGCAAACCACCTTCCTGCATGCGTAATCTTCCTCCTAACTCCTCAGGGCTGGACCAAGTTTAAAGCTGCTGTGAGAGTGACGTGAGGGCTGTGGGTGTGGTTTAGGCCAAAGAAGGAGGGGATATGATAAGAGACTTAAATCTTGGAAAGGTTCCCAGAGGGAAATTGCCACACGGCTCCTTGGGTGAGGTCAGAATCTTAGAACAGGACAAGAGGATATGAAGGCACTTCCTGGTGAGTGTGTTCTTCAAGGAGATTGTGCAGCTTCTCACACTCACTCGAAGCTGTCTAAGAACAAAAATGACTACTGGCCTTGGGGATGATTTAGCTGCAGAAACTCATTTCACCAGTTAGGGCCAAAGTTTTAAATTCTATCCTGTTCTTTTTGCCATACTAAGTGCTCATTTCATACACCAACACATTTATATTTGAGATCTTATGGTTATAAGCATTTTGATATTCGACCCTTTTCACTTAACATTATTTTGTAAATACCTATGTTTACCATTTCCCTCTTATTGGGCATTAGGTTGTGACTGGTTTCTGCAAATATTTTTTTTTTTTTTTAGTATATTTTTATTGATTTTGTACAGAGAGGAAGGGAGAGGGATAGAGAGTTAGAAACATCGATGAGAGAGAGTCATTGATCAGCTGCCTCTTGCACACCCTCTACTGGGGATATGCCCGCAACCAAGGTATATGCCCTTGACCGGAATCGAACCCGGGACCCTTCAGTCCCCAAGCCGACGCTCTATCCATTGAACCAAACCAGTCTCAGCTGGTTTCTGCAAATTTTAAATGCACTGATTAGATACGATGTTTGTCCCCATCTCAAACTCCGGGAAGGTTGTACCACTTTCTGTGACCACTCTGTGTACCATTCCCAATGCACGGCCTTCCCTGTCAGAGGCCACTGAATTCTGCTAAGCAAAAAATGTAAATGGTCATAATAGCTCTTGGTTTTATATTCATCCCATACCAGGCCTAAGAGGATTTGATGAGCTTCATCTCTTTGAATCCCAACAACACTGAGGTAGAAGCTATTGCTTTCATTTCCTAGAGATGACCATGAAATTTAGAGTCACCCTCATGGTCTTCAGCGAATCAGGGTGGTGTCTGCTGCTGCATCAGTGACTCTCCATCATGTTCTTACAGATTCTGATGATGGTGGGCCTTCCCGCTGCTGGTAAGACCACATGGGCCATCAAACATGCAGCCTCCAACCCCTCCAAGAAGTACAACATACTGGGTACCAATGCCATCATGGATAAGATGCGGGTAAGGGCAGCACCTGGTCTCTCCTTAGCCACTTCCCTCATCCTCCCCTGCTGTGCTGTCCTACAACTGGGACCATACACCCCTCACCACCCCCTTCCCATAGGTGATGGGCCTACGTCGGCAGCGGAACTATGCCGGCCGCTGGGACGTCTTGATCCAGCAGGCCACCCAGTGCCTCAACCGCCTCATCCAGATTGCTGCCCGCAAGAAACGCAACTATATCCTAGACCAGGTACTTACCGGTGACCATCATGCTCCTAGAGAGGGAAGAAGCCTATTGGGTGCCTGGATATTACCCTTTTGTCCTCTTATTTTTCACCATAATGCTCATGGACTGCAGTGCTAGTAAGGGGGTCAGCCATACATGACAGCACAGTCCCAGGCTCTTAGCACAGCTCTCTGAGCCCTGTATGTAGGTGGGGTTTGGGGCCGTAATCCAGACTTCACTCATGTTCTTAGCAGTCCAAGAGAACATTATCAGGTAAGAGCCATTTAGTGAGACGGGCTTGGGTTTCTGAGCTGGATAGACTTGGCCTAAATCCCAACTCTTCTACTAGCTGAGTGTCTACAGACAGCTGGCTTCATATTTCAAATCTGAAATCTTGTCTATAAAATGGAGATTATAATGGTGCCCACATCCCTAACACAGGGCCTGGCACATACCGTAGTAACTGGAAATTACTATTTATTACTCTACAGAATAAGTATGTCCCAGTTTCTCCTAGCATGTTTGATGACTGTCAGGTATATATCTAAATGTATTTTGTACCTGTTTAAGAGCAGGGTTCTTCATATCAGGTAATCTGGGAACTTTTTTTTTTTTTTTAATAAGTCTTTATTGTTCAGATTATTACAGTTGTATCTCTTTTTTTCTTCCTATAGCCCTCCGTTCCCACCCTACCTCATGCCCTTACCACCATCACCTGTCATTGTCCTCGTCCATAGGTGTTCGATTTTTGTCCAATCTCTTCCCGTACCCTCCACACTCACTTCCCCCCGAGAATTGTCAGTCCACTCCCTTTCTATGCATCTGATTCTATTATATTCATAACAATTTATTCTGTTTCTCAGATTTTTTTATTCACTCAATTTTTAGATTCACTTGTTGATAGATATGTATTTGTTGTCACTTTGTTATTCATAATTTTTTTTAATAAGTGGCTATTTTTTAAATATATTTTATTAATTTTTTACAGAGAGGAAGGGAGAGAGATAGAGAGCTAGAAACGTTGATGAGAGAGAAACATAGACTAGCTGCCTCCTGCACACCCCCCCACCAGGGACGTGCCCGCAACCAATGTACATGCTCTTGACCGGAATCGAACCCGGGACCCCTCAGTCCGCAGGCCACTGCTCTTTCCACTGAGCCAAACCGGTTTCAGCTCATAATTTTTATCTTTATCTTTTTCTTCTTCTTAAAAAAATACCCTTCAGCATTTTATATAATCCTGGTTTGGCAGTGATGAACTCCTTTAGCTTGTTCTTAATCTGTGAAGCTCTTTATCTAACCTTCAATTCTAAATGATAGTTTGCTGGGTAGAGTAATCTTGGTTGTAGGTTCTTGCTATTCATCACTTAGAATATTTCTTGCCATTCCCTTCTGGCCTGCTTAGTTTCTGTTGAGAAATAGCTGACAGTCATATGGGTACTCCCTTGTAGGTAACTGTTTTTCTTTTGCTGCTTTTAATATTCTTTTTGTCTTTTGCCCTTGGCATTTTATTTATTTTTTTAAATATATTTTATTGATTTTTTTACAGAGAGGAGGGAAAGGATAGAGAGTTAGAAATGTGTCTTGGTGTAGTCCTCTTTGGATTTCTCTTGTTTGGTTTTTCTTTAGCTTCCTGGACTTGTAAGTCTATTCTTTCACCAGGTTGGGAAGTTTAATGTCATTATTTCTTCAAATAGGTTTTCAGTATCTTTCTCTCTTCTTCAACATAATTCTGATGTTGATACGCTTGAAGTTGTCCCAGAGGCTCCTTAAACTATGTTCATATTTTTGGATTCTCTTTGCTTTTTGCTTTTCCAATTGGGTGTTTTTTGCTTCTTCATATTTCAAATCTTTGACTTGATACTTGGGATTCTCTCGTCTGCTTTTGGATCTCTGTATGTTATTCTTTATTTCAGTCAGTTATGCTTAGTAAGTTCTAGTGGATCCTTTTGCATATCCTCGATGGCCTCACTAAATTTCTCAGAGGTATCTAGAAGATTCTTGAGTAACCTTATAACTGTGGTTTTGAACTCTATATCCAGTCGTTTGCTTCCCTCCATTTCTTTCATTTGTGACCTGTATCTTTGTCTCTGCATTTTGGCTGCTTCCCTGTATTAATAGAGCAGCTTTGTGTGCTAGGTGTCCTATAGGGCCCAGTGGCTCAGCCTCCCCAGTCACCTAGGTGGACATTCTTGGTGCACCCCTTTGTGGGCTGTGTGCACAGTCTTGTAACCTTTATTGCTGTTGGTATCACTGGGCAGAATTGACCTCCAGACCAATTGGCTGTGAGGACCAGTTGTGTCTACAATGGGAGGACTGCTTGGCTGGAAACACCCTTATGGGGCAGGACTTGCTTCAGTGGGGCTTTGGTGCTCATTGAGTCTGCCCCCTGAGTGTATCTCTTACTGGATCTGAAGAATTGTAATCTGATGTAGTCTTGCTTTGACCACTGGGTGCACTGGCTCTTGGATCTCCAAGGAGGTGCAAAGTCAGTCGCTGCCTGAGGCCATCCAGCAGGAGCTACAGAGAAATCTGCAGATTCCTCCTCTTGGTTTGGGGTTTAGAGGTGCTCAGATGAGGCGCAGCTTTGAAGCTATGCAGGCTGCTGACAAGCCTTTGATCTTTTGAAAGCTCTGGGGTTCTGCCAAGACTGGTTTGGCTCAATGGCTAGAGCGTCGGCTTGGGGACTGAGAGGTCCCGGGTTCGATTCCGGTCAAGGGCATGTGCATTGGTTGCGGGCATGTCCCCAATAGGGGGTGTGCAAGAGGCAGCTGATCGATGACCCTCTCTCATCGATGTTTCTAACTTTCTATCTCTCTCCCTACCTCTCTGTACAAAATCAATAAAATATATTAAAAAAAAAAAAAAGAAAGAAAGAAAGAAAGAAAGCTCTGGGGTTCTTTGACCCAGCTGCAGTTTGTTAGATTAGGCTGCAAAAGGCCATGCCATTCATATGCAAACGTCTCTGCACACAGCTTGTGTGGGGTTTTAAATTGGGTGGGGCGTGGTTTCGGGGAATCACAGGATGGTGCAACCAGTGATGGCCCTGCCCCAGTAGGTCCCTGGGTATCTTGTGTCCCACAGCCCCGTGCAAGAAGAATGAACTCTGTGACCACCTCTGAGAGAAAGCCACCCTCATATTCCTGTCCCAATGCCAGACAGTCCAGTTTCTCTCCATATGAGTCTGGGTCCCCAGAGACTGGCTGGAAACGAGTTCAGAGCAGTTGGGAATTTGTATCTCCCTCCCGATTAAAAAAGACCACAGCATACCCAGTTGCCAGCATGTTTCCGCACGCACCTCCAAACCTTCTACCAGTCTAGATGTGCTTTTCTCTTTCCTTCTTGTTGTATAGCTTCCACACAGCCAGCTTTCCCATGGTTCTGGATGATAACCGCTTTTCTTTTAGTTATAGTTTTGATGTGGTTGTACAAGACAGCAGTTTCAGGTGTTTACCTATGCCACCATCTTGGTTCCTCCTGGAGCCTTTGAAATTAAATACAATTTTGTATGCAGGTGCAAGCATGTTATTTTAAAAAACGAAAAAGTTAGACAGTTTCAATTTAGAATGGGAAGATCGTCCTTGGCTTTCAACATTCCCAAAAGTATAATTGACCCAAACATAGTTAAGGATCCCTGTCTCAGGGTAATGAGTTTCTTGTGTTTACCAACTATGAGACGACATTCTGGACATGTGTCCTGAGGGAATCAAATCCTATATTTGGGGATCTGTGAACAAGCCTCTGTTTCCCTAAGCCTTGCATTCATGATTTTCTTAAAAACCTGTAAATGTGCAAATACGTAAGGTGAGTAGCACCCTTACCCTGGCCGCCTTGCTGGTGTGCCTTCCCAGTGTGCCGGTACTTGATTACGGGGTTCTGAGGCCTCCTGGTGAGAATGGAGTTGGAAACTCCAGGGGACCAAGTTGCCCGTGCATGGGAGTTGGCATCTTATGCGAAACAACTGAGCAGGAGCTTGGGGTCATGAACATGTGGAGATGTGGGAGAGCGGTATGTGCACTCGGAGAGTGTGGAAGCTCTGCGCCCTTCTCACATAACTTTGCCCTATGCATCTCTTCCATCTGGCTGGTCCTGAATGCATCCTTTCATAATAAACTAGTGATCTATGTTTACAGTGAAGAAATGATGCCTTACATCCAACATCTGAAAGAAGCACATAGTAAGAACTTTGTTCTTAAAGACAGAAAGTAAAAAGGCTATGGGCTGGTGATAGTTCTTGATAGGCAAATTTACAGTTTTTTAAATCCTCATGCAGGGATATATTTGATTTTTTAAAAATCTTTATTGTTGAACTTATTACATGTGTTTGTTGATTTGAGAGAGAGAAACATTGATATGAGAAACATAGATGGGTTGCCTCCCACACATGTTCTGACCAGGGATCAAACCCATAGCCTAGGTATGTGCCCTGACTGGAAATCAAACCCACAAGCTTTTGGTGTACGGGACAATAGCTCCAACCAACTAAGCTACACCGGCCAGGGCTAGACAATTTAATTTAAATGGTCTTGCCAGACAGGTGTTAGGAGTTTACATGTGCTGTGTGCTGATGGAACAGCCAAGCTAAGAAAACTGAAAGTTGACTAAGGCTGGGCCCTACCGTGGCCCTCATCTGTGATGGTGGACATGAGAGATTTGCTCTGGGTTCTGCAGCGATTGGATTGGTCCTTAAAGACTCTCACATTTGTGAAGAAAACAGTACATGATCCCCTAATACTAAATTTTAATGCAAACAGCTAATCTTTCAAATATTTATTTCTGGGGACTGGATGGGACTGTTGAGCACAGGATAGTCCAAAAGCCAACCAGGGCTATTGCCCCAGCTCAGCCCCATCAGTAATGCATATAGCCAGCCTTTTCTTTCTTCGAAGACTTCGTTTTTTAACCCAGTAAGTATTCCCTGCCTGTCATTTTGTCGATTAAATTAGCTGTGAAACCCATTTCAAATGTGTAGCTCAGTGGCGAAGGATTACAGTATTAGGGATAGATCATCTTAACATTTTTGT